GGCACGTAAAAAAGACAACAGTATCTTTTTATCGGTGTACAAAATTGGCAAAATAAAATCTCGGGGTTGTTAAATTCATGTGGATTGATTACTCATTAGGCAGATTTATACTAAATGGGAAACAAGCATAGATATTATTCGGAATAGGTTTTTGTTGCAAGTTTGACCAAACTGTATTACTGTGACAACTGGGCTTTTGACTACTGGGGAGCAGGGACCACGGTAACAGTAACATCAGGTAAGATTTTAACCTCTTAAAAATCTTCCCTGTATTTTTACAGTTTATTTTTATTAAATTACTATGTATTATAGGTATCTGAATACTCAAACTTAACTGTACTTGGAGAATATTTACTGTAAAAAGGAATTACTCAGACCCATAATTGGCAAAACTGATAATTAGGGTTAATCGCTTTAGATTAGTTTAGATGTATTTTATAAAATAGTGAAGGTGGTGACATGTTAAAGAGTAAAAATGATCACCATTAGTCCATAAAGCTTTTCATACTGAGACTTGAGTTAGTTCATCACTGTGCTACGGTGCTTTTGACTACTGGGGGAAAGGGACTACAGTCACCGTCACTTCAGGTATGAAATAACATTTTTTTTAGTAGCAAAGGAAATTTTAAATTTAAAAAACTGTTTTTGTTGCTTTTTGTCATTCAACAGTAATGTTAAGGATTGTTAGTATAAAGTCGTGTGGCTTGTTCATTGGGTTCAAACAAAACATTCAGCTACAGATTAAAATGTTAAAATAATTTTAGAATTTTTTTATAATTGATTGCAAAATCACTTTTTCTAAAACCCAATGTGAACTTTAATTGCATAAAACTAGATATCCTGCAAAATTGAACATTGCTAAAACCGATAACCAACATTCTCCTGTGGCTTTTTAGAAAGTTTAATTGGATTTGAAAAAATCTTAAGAATATTTAGGGTTTAAAGAATTGGAGATTTTCCATCAGTATGTGGGCCTTTTTATGTACAAGGGTTAAGTATATTCATCACTGTGCTACGATGCTTTTGACTATTGGGGGAAAGGAACAACGGTCACCGTCACTTCAGGTATGAAATTAAATTGTTTCTAATTTGGCCATAATGTTTTAAATGAAAAAAAAAATAGTAGGTTGTAAATTAAGTTGGAACATAATTTTATGAACATGCTTGAATTCAAAATAATTTTTTAGACAAATTTTTAAATTCTATGTTCATGTGACAACAGGGATATCAGGGTTATTTTTTGAGAACTTTGGAAATATCCTTCCAAAGTTAACTTGAGATGTTCATTGTAGCATGTCAGTACCCTCAAGTATTGATATTGTTAAAATGTACGATATTTTCATTAATTTATATTGCTTGAATTGAGTTCAAAAAATAGTGGAGATTCTGAAGTGTTAAAGGCTTTGAAGTTCACAATCGGTAAATCAACCTTTTTAAACTAAGAGTTAAGCAGATTAATCACTGTGTTACTACGAAGCTTTTGACTATTGGGGGAAAGGGACAATGGTCACCGTCACTTCAGGTATGAAATGTTTTTTTGTTTTTCTAATTGTCAAAGGTAATTGTAGTTACTGGATTATATTTTGCCGTATTCCGTCACACGACGGATAGATTTGAAAATTAACCACAAAAAAAGAGAATGAAAATGCGACTTCTAAATTATCTTAGGACATAAATCAGTGAACAAGTTTACAGAAATATGATTTTGATTTTAGACTTTTTTATTAAATACAATTTAACAATTCTAAATTTCATGTTTTAATTGATGTCTCAAACTGAACTGTGTTTGGATGGTATTTATTGTAGTAAGTGAATACCATAAAATTATTCCTTGAACTGTCAAAATGAATTGCATAGAATCTATACTGGGCAGCCTTTGCAGAGTTTACAAAATAAAACTGTGAGTATTTGAGATTTTCATGATCATCATAAGTTCAAATAGACTTTTTTCAAAAGTGACAAGTTGCCTGTTGAATCGTGGGTAAGAGATACATTTTTACAATTGTAAGTCAGGTGAAATTTGAATTGTTTAAAATCTGCAAACACTTTGGTTGTTTTTCTTGAAATTAACATGAGCATGTTCTTTGGTTGCTTATTCGGATTTTATGAAATGATGTGATAAATTAAATCTTGAATATCTTACAATGTTGTTTTTGATTTATGAAGAAAATGTGTATTACTAAGTTTCTTCAGGTAAGGTTGGTATACCTATATTTATGTTATCTGTTAAATGAGATAACATTTTAAATTAGGTTTTGCATGGATGTCTCATAAGTAAAGTTTGTGGCTTTGTATGGACTGACATCTTTCAATGAAATGTGTAACTGAAGTTTTTAATATTGGCTTTCAAAGCAAGAAAAGACAGATTGAGCCCTCTGAATATCTGTTTTTTGTAGGTCTGAAGGAAAATTGTTATGTTATTTCATTTATATATTGTTTTTAACGTGCTCTTTTTTTTCTTTTTTTTTGTCATTTTCAGCCACTCAGACTGCTCCCACTCTGTTTCCTCTGGTTCCATGTGGTTCTGGTGGTAGTGACATGGTCAGCCTTGGCTGTCTTGCCACCGGTTTCAACCCCTCTTCCATCACCTTCTCGTGGGAACAAGGCAGTACTTCTTTGAACAACTTCATCCAGTACCCTTCAATCCAGAAAGGCAATGAATACATGGGAATCAGTCAGGTTCAAGTCAGAAGACAGGACTGGGACGCAAGAAAATCCTTCAAATGCATTGCAAATCACGCTGCAGGAGAACGACGTGTTTCATTCACCCCACCACCGCCACCACCACGTAAGATTAATGCAAAGTTATAAATCTTTACTTTTTAGTATTTTTTTTTAAATTGCATTTAGTTGTCTTATATGCTATAGTTCAAATTTATTAAATTCAAAATTATATTTATTATTTCCTAAAATTGTATAACCTTGTAACTGGTGTTTTACTAGTTATTGTGGACCTTTAAATAGAATTATTTGCATTAATTTAAAGAACCACTCATGTCAGAACTGATGGGAGTTCTGAGTTATGTAAAACAAAAAGAAAAAAGAAAAAAAAATAACAGCTGAAGTTTCTGGTGAAGGTATATTTAATTATGTTCTTAATAATTGGAAATCACTCTTGGTTTTAAATTCATAACGAGTTTCATTTTAAAATTGCTTAAATGGGGCATATTATTTATATCTTTATTGATGTCTAGTAGGATTTACCAGGTGGAACAAGAGGGTAAATTCAATAGTATTTTCAGCATCTGACTTAGTTGGTTTTCCTCCTCACTAATACCTTTTCTCTTAATTTCATAGACTACTTCTGCATCTTCTGTTGTTGTTTTTTTTTGTGCCTGAACAATCCTTCTTGTTTCCTGACTTCTGCCTGTGTCTGTTTTTCTGTTTGTTGATTAATAACCTCGTTGTAAACCCTATAACTCTGTGCTTGCCAGTCAATGTATATGCAGAAGTGAGTGTTAGTTCTTTGACGTTCTTTAATGCCAATTTTGGATAGATGCATTTCCCTCTTGAATGGCATAGAACAACTTACTGCTGTGCTCATAGAACGAATGTCTTAAATACATGAGTTTGATTATGTTGTTGGAACCAGTTAAAGATACATCAGACCTGACCACATGAACCAAGCCTCATGTTGTTTTCCAGGTCTTCTGCATATATATAGATCTTGTCCTTGCTTCTGCAAACATATATGTGTATCTGTTTGTCTTTCAGCCAAGGTTTATGAGCTTCCGACTGTTAAAGTGTGTTCCTCCGTTGATGAGGGGAAAGAGGAGGCTTACTTCTCCTGCTTTGCCAAAGATTTTGCTCCAAATAAATATGAGATCACATGGCTGAAAGATGATCAAGTAATCACCGGGGCAGTAGATAAGGTCGTCACATCGTCTCAGGGAAGAAATGACACGAATGGAACCATCCTGTACAGTGTTGCAAGTCTCCTCACACTGCCGTCCAGGGAAGTGCCTGAAGGCGCAAAATTAACATGCTTATTTAAGGGAATAGGTCAAGACGACATAACTCCAGTCTATACCAATTCTACTGTGTCCCACAAGCGGTGTTCAGCTGGTGAGTACGATGGTAGTTTTTTCATTATACCTAATCACCAAATTGATGTTTCTAGTCTGTTTAATTTGTTTTTGTCTTTATTTTTTTAGTCACTGAAGGGTGTAGCGAAGATATGGATATAAGGATCATACCCCCCACAAACAAGGACATCTTTTTGGATGGAAAAGGAACCCTGATATGTGAAGTCACCGAAAAAAAAGCGGGATTTGAGAAGGTCGTCTGGTTGGACGAGGACGACACGGAAGTGGTATCCACACAGGAGAATAGAGGATCCAATGTACATCTAGCTAAAATTGAGATCACCTTTGATGAATGGAGCAAGGGGCTCACGCGTGTCTGTGAAGTCCACAGCACTGAGTGGATTGATCCAGTGAAGAAAGAGTACAAAAGGAGCAACGGTAAGAAAACTGTTCAGAATTCGTCTTTATTTCTTCTTCTCATGACAGAAAACACATTGTGAGGGACATCTTCCCGTGAACAATAGACGTTTCCGTCAAATTGTGTGCTAGTTTATCTGTGACCCTAACTGTTCTCTCATGCTTACAGGAGGAGCTTCTAAGCGTCCATCAGTGTTTATGTTGCCTCCCTTAGAGCAAACTAGAGAAAAAACAGTGGTTCTGACTTGCTATGTGAAAGACTTCTCTCCTCGGGAGATTTATGTGGACTGGCTTGTCGATGATGAAAAGGCAGGCACAAAATATCAGTTCAGTACCACAGAACCCGTGGAAAACAATGGATTCTTCTCCGTTTACAGCCAGTTGATCCTCACACAAGAACAATGGAATGAGAAAGATGTGGTGTATAGCTGTGCTGTTCATCACGAGTCTGTGGCAAAGTCAAGCAAATCGATTGTCAGATCCATTGGATCCAGAACCTTTGAAAAAACCAATGTGGTCAACCTTAACATGAACGTCCCTGAAACGTGCAAGGCCCAGTAGATGTGTCTATGCGTCTTGTTTTTCTTTTTTTTTTTCCCTTCTCGTTTGATGTCTGTTGCTTGTGATTTTTAAATTGTTTGTTTGTTTTTAGTGCAAATTTAAAATGAAAATAAAAAAAAAAAATACTCGCCGACTGTGTTGATGTTTGTCGCTTGCACTTTGTGTGAACTTGATCTGGTGTCGAAACTGAATGTTCATGTCACGTTTTACGTGAGTTTTGTCCTCATGCAACCCTAATAACACTTCATTTGAGTTCTACATATTTATACTTCAAATAGTTGTGCAATAATAATATAGAAGGATTTCAAATGCCATAGTACTTACAAGAATACTATCACCTCAGTAACATCAGTTATTGAACTTAGATTTTCTCATTTCATTTGCAAAAGTAGAGCTGACTGTGTTTCTGTGGTGTGTCTTTATGTGACTGTTTCATCTACTGGGTTTTGCACCCCCAAAAAAGTCTTGATGACTCTTAAACTCTGTTAAGGTCTTTCACAAGCAAGTCAGTATCATAAGTAATAAGTGATCAGATTACTGTAGCATTTTTCAAATGGCTAAAGACACAGAAAACTAGAAACAATTGAAAGGAACAGAAAAAAGCATGATTATAACCTATGTTTTCTGGAGTAAAAGAAAATATGGATCATTATCTCACACTACTGAAAAATACACTAATTTCAAACAGCAGTACTACCAGACCTCCTGATTGACTCAAGTAGAATCACCACAGAAGAAGATGACATGACTAACACGGCAATCACCTTCATCCTTCTCTTCCTCCTCACTCTGGTCTTCTCCATCGGGACCACTGCATTTAAGGTAACGCAACAAATTGAAGTAGGCACAAATGTGGAATTACTGACATTAGAAACTTAAAACCAAATGTGTATTTGCAAAATGACAAACACTCCACTACAGTGGATATGAGCAAAGGCTTTGGAGGAGAAAGTAGGCACACCCTTGAATAACATTTTTACAACTGTAATGTATTTATGATGCAGTTAAATCTAAAACAAGGCATTTTTTGTCATTTTCCTTTGTACTAAATTACATACATTCAACAACATAATGTTAAAACGCAATTTTTTTAATCTAATTTAGAGTTCCTTGTGTCTTCTAGAGTTATAAAAACATAATTCATATTTTCATGCCTGACAATCATTTTGTAAAACAGTTTCATACCTAGTAGTTCTTTCTTTAACCATTTTTCCTACTTATGGCTTTTTTTAGTTGCAATGCTAAATACTTCAGTTGTTTTAAATGAATATTGAAATTTACCAGAAGAGTATATGTATGTTATGTATGTTTATTAACCTTAATGGTGTTCTTCATAGTTAAATTGCACATTTTATTATAATCGGATTAGGAATTGGGCATAAATTGACGTATCAAAAATACTTCTTTGGCCTAAAAATTTGAGCAAGATGAAAAGCATGTTGAACTGTTATGTAACTCTGAGATTGTTCTCAAATGTAAAGTACTTTATGTAAAAAGTACATAAAGTAATAATAATAATAATAATAATAATTTTATTATTATTAATATTAATAAAAGCCTATATTAATATTATAGGAGACAATTGGGCTTTTCAGAGAAACAATTTCTCCAACAGCTGGTGTTTCTAAAGTGCAACATCAAAACAGGTGAAATAAAGGATCTACATAGAAATTTCCAAAATAAAATTGTTTTCCATAATGCAGAAAATGTAATTCTCTATTGAAATATGCAATATTTTGTCAGAGAGTCCTTCAAAGTCAAACATTTCAGCTCCTTTTCATTGCACTGGTTCACAATAATTGCTATTCTAGTTTATAGAGTTTATAGATTCTAGAAATTACTCTAAAATGGACACTTCAACACTTTGGTGGAATCACTTTTAAGTATGTCAAACCTTTTTTTTTCATTTCAGGTTCTAAAATTAATAACAAAGTTAAATTAAAACAGAGAGAAAATTAATTAGCTGATAAACCTGTTAATTTGTGATGACTTAAAGAATACATTGCTTTAATGAATAACGTCAGTGACCAATGAGGCAGAAATCCACCAGCTATTTATTTATATAACTTAGTGTATTGTTGCTAATAAAAAAAAAAACTTTATATTTCCTGCTAATATCTTGTCATGTGAAATATTTATAGTGCCATGAAAATAAGGATTTCAAGCTTTCCACAGCAGACTAACAATTGTAGAATAAAAATGACAATAAAATTAGCTCATTCTTTTATTAATTTTATTTTGCCAAAATAATACTTATAATTAAATGATCAAAAAAATCTACCTCAATTAATTTTATATATTGTTAATCTAAGTACTTTAACATTCTAAAAACAACACAATATTTTCACACTGCACAATCATAATAACAAAAGGTGTCTTAAAAAGAAAACAATTAGCAATCTTTGGTGTTTTAGTACGAAAATAATATTAGCTAAATGCATTAAAAATGTTCAGCTTAAAAATTAAATTACATGAAGAGAGCTTTTGTAAATTATCCAGATATTTTATGAAAGGTGTAATATGTTGTTTTATTTAAAAATGAATAAAAGTAATATTTTTTTCATTTTTATTATTAATGTGTAAAATGTCTTCTGAAAGCACTTTATGATATAATTTATCTGTTACAAAGATAATTAGCACTTTTGATCTGAATTAGCTTTGCATTGCTTGCAATAGAGTGTCCATATATAACAAAACAGCTCAGCAGAGCATTATTACATTCATTAAGTCCATAAATGTTGATAAATAATATCAGCAACACAATGATATAACACTGTTTTTAATGCATGTTTTTCTTTTTCCTTTTTTCTTTACAGGTCAAATGAAACCAGAAGTACATAAAAAGGACATTTGATAGATTAAAAAAAAAAATACAAAAACATCTTTTTTTCTGAAATTTTCTTATACTTTTTATATCATGTAAGTAATTGCAAATGATATTTGTCGATCCTTCCAAATCTCAAAGCTTCAAATCATTTTGCGATGCAGTTTTGAAAGAGGAGAACTGCTTTACTCTTTTTATTTCTTTACAATATTTTAACACTGTTCTCAGTTGTGTATTTTTTGCTTGACATTCTTGTTCTCATCACACCACCAGCACCTGGAATCAATGACCCATGTTCAACTCTGCATGTAAATTAGCACTTTTCGCCTCATGGTTACTTTTTTCGGTCTGTTATTACTGGACTTGAAAACTAAAATCTTTGGCAAAGTAACGAGAGATTGTCTGTGTGATGTCTTATGTAAAGCAACCTGAGATATTTAGATGTGTTCTCTGTTTCTCTTACTGGCATAACTGCACCTCACACCTGCTGTCTGTGCTGCTCTGTTGCTCTCTGCTCTGTTTCACTTCTGCTTTTCGGTCCCGTTTTGGACCTGGGTGTTACACAAGCCTTCCGCTCGTTGCATGCCCTGGTCGCTCTGCTCTGTCAAGCTCAACATCTGTTCAACAGACTTTTAAAACTATTTTTTGCTACTTTTATTTTATTTTTTTTTGTTGTATAATGTGGGATATAAAACTCTGCCATCTAATGTAAATAAAAGCAAACTGCACCTGAAATTCAGAGTTGGTTATTAGTTAAAGTTGGTTGTTAGTTAAAGACCACAGCATGAAGGTATGTATGGATTAACTTTAATCAGATTTCATCTTTATAGAACCCCTGCTTAGCTTTGTAATGTCATGCAATCTCCTCTCTTCCACAGCTGCCCGGAGTAATCCCCCAAACATCACCTTGTACCCTGTTTGGGATGGAGAACTCAATATTTCTAATGTCAGACTTGTCTGCGCTTTGAGCGACTACTTTCCCAAGGACCTAACAGTGGAGTGGTACAAGGAGAACCAGCTTCTATCAAGCAAGCAAGATGTGAGAAATTTTATAAGCGCAAATGAGGAGGACAAAACCTACACTCAAACCACTGAGATTATTCCAGACAAGGAAGCATGGATGAAAGGATCAACATTTAAGTGCAAGTCTATTCACAAAGCCAAAAATTCAACAGAAACAATAAACATCTGTCAGAGTAAGTCTCTACAGGCATTGTCACAAACCAAATAGTAAATGGGATAAAATTAGTCCATATATATTGAAGTGTTGTTTTTTTTTTGTCGTTGTTGTTGCAGTCTATGGAAAATACAAGCCTCCCATTAATATGGAGATCCCAAATTTCATGAAAGTGACGACAGAGTCTGAAGTGGAAGCAAAGTGTTCCATGACCACCGTGCTTAATCCCAATCTGACCTGGGAAATGGACGGGGTTCCAGTGCAGCATACAAGCCTAACAAGAAATGACATGTTTGTAAGCACTACACTGAAGGTTTCATCGGAGATATGGGCAAAAACGAAAACAATTCAGTGTAAAGCTGAACATCTTTGCTTCTCAAATACGAAGGCCGTTAATATTTCAGGTAAAATGACACGGTAATACGAATACTAAAGGACTGTCTTCAAAGTTATAAAGCATGACACGATCTCTAAAATGTGCTGTAACATTTTTCAGTTTTACGTTGTGTTATATAGTTATATAGTTTCGGTGACACTGTATGTCACCATACTTTTATTTTTTACCTGTTATGATCCAGGGCCTCCAGTTACACGTCCACGGGTGGAGATCAGAAGATCCTTCTCAGAGCTGCTGAAGGAACAAAGTGCCGTCTTCCAGTGTGATGTCTCACAGCTCTCCCCGCAGGACCTCTATGTCACATTTCAAGTGAACGGAGCTGATGCTTCGCAAAAATATTATATTAATCTTCCTGAAGGATCCGGCCCTCATTCAGTCAGTAGAAGTTTCTCTGTTCCTAGAAACTCCTGGAAAAGTGACACAAATGTCTCGTGCACAGTGACCCAAGGCTACTCCAACAGTCCCTTCAAGTCAAATTTGATGAGCAGAATTTTTGGTGAGAATTGTTTGCATCTTCTTGGAAAACCCATTGCTACCTAGTGCTCATTTTTTTTATCTATTTTTTTTTAATCTGTTTAAATTTCTTTTGTTTACTTTAGTGGAGCCCACAGTGGAAATTCATCTTGCTCCCAGTGAAGGATTTGAGCAACAAACACTAGTGTGTTCTGGACGCGGCTTCGACCCACAAATCAAATGGTTTAACGGGTCAAAGGAAATAAACCCATCAAATCCAGACTTCAGTATGAATAACAACGGTCTTGCTGCTGTGATGAGTCAACTGCATGTTGATCATGCCGAGTGGAAAAGAGGAATGGTATTTACATGTGAAGTGTCTGACAGTTCTCTAAAGAAAAATGTCGAAAAGGATATCAGTGTCTGTTCAGGTAAAATTCTAATTAAATCTGTCCATGTAGTTTTCTGGTTTTAAATATGGATCACCTGCTTTATCAAGGATTTATTTTCTCTCTTAGTTACGCCAAAATCTTCTCATATGGTCGCCGTCTATATTCAGAGACCTAAACTGGAGGAACTCCAAAAGGGGGGACGGGTGACTGTTACATGTCTTTTTGTTGGGACTAGTCTTTGTGATTTCTCCATAATCTGGAAAGTTGGAGATCACCAAGCTTCCCCAAGTAATATCAATATGGAAAAACCTGTGAGTCACAACAACGGAACGGAAACTTTACACAGCTCCCTCTATGTGTCAGCAGAGGACTGGCACTCAAATAAGCAAGTGTCTTGTGAGGGAAAACATCTGTGTTCCACCAAAAGCTATATAGACTATATCAGCAAAAGTACAGGTATTGCAAGCACTCTGAGGACTATTTACAAATGTTATCTTAAATATTATTTAACATTTCTTTCCTTCTGTTTTGTGTTGGTGTTTCCAGATCTGTATCAGCCAGTTCTGAGGATAGTGGAGCCAACTTTTGATGAGCTGTATACATCTGACAGCGTCACGCTTACTTGCTTAGTTTCAGCATTTTTTCCATCTGACATCATTGTTCAGTGGACAGAAAATGGCCAACAACTCCCAGCATCTCGCTATATTGACAGTCCTTCTTGGAAGGAACCGGGAACACGCTATTTTTCAATGAGGAGCAGACTAAATGTAACTAAGGCTGAGAACAATAACTCAACTTACTCTTGTGTCGTCAGACATGAATCCTCTGAGACTCCATTTGAAACCAGCATAAGTGACGTGTTTGGTAAGCTAACGATCAGTTTTCAGAAATCGCATTTTCTTCTACAGTACACTCTGAACAAATAACTTATTTCCTCAGCCACTGTGAGGTACACCAAACCCTCAGCCGTCTTGCTCCGGGGAGAGAACGAGCTCATGTGTCTGGTCTCGGGCTTCAACCCAAAATCCATCAATATCACTTGGCTCCGCAGTGAAACCACAGAGCTGTCGGACTACAACACAACCGAGCCCTACATAGGGCCAGATAGGAAATTTAACATTCTTAGCCGCCTTCGCCTTGCGCCAATTGACACCTTACCTGGCGTGGTTATCACCTGTCGGGTGACACATGAAGGCGCCACCGTCTCAGTGAACATGTCTGAACCAGGTATGCGAACTACATTATTCTTGAGTGTTAAAGAGTTTGTGTTTAACACTGTGAGTCAGATTTATTTTTAATTAACTCTTTATTTCCACTAAAGTCATCATAAGCTTATTACCAGTGAATCTCTACATTTTCTACAGACACGCTGGAGAACTGTAGCTTCTTTGATGCTATCAAAGACATTGATGTGAGTCAAGATACAATGAAGGAAACCTGGACTATGGCACTAACTTTCCTCTGCTTTTTCCTCTTCACCATCATATTTTCTCTTGTTGTCCTCATCATTAAGGTAAGAATCAGCTATAGTGTTGCTGCAGGTACTTCACTGAGTACAATTTTGAGTTAGAATGTTAATCACTGTCATGTTGACACATTTTCTTCTCTTCTACTTTCAGACAAAATAGTGACAATCAGAAGACATTTTACATTTTTTTTCAGTTTGGTGTGCATAGAGTGGCTCATTATTTTTTTAATTTTGCTTTTTTTCTTTTGTGTTCTTTGTTCTAGTTTATAGCAAATATTTTTGGAGAGTTATCGTGTTTCTCTTCTGTATTTGGTGTGAGATGTAAATGCTGTTAAGATAAATAAAATTAATGATACTACCGTGTGCTATATTTTATCAATGTTTTCTGTACCTGAACAAATTGTCCACAAGATGGAGACAAAGTTCTATGTTGAGCTTTGCTCGTTTCAACTTCCAACACAGAAATTATGCAGTTTTAAATCCGAGATTTTTTTTTTTTTTTTTAGTTTTTTTTTTTCTTTTCTTTTTTTTTTGCATCGTTACGAGGAAGCAAAATAACAATTGTGACTTTATCAAAAAACTAAAACAAATGTTTTGTTTTAATTTACAGATGCACAAGTTGGACTGTGTGCATATTTCATTTGAGTTTCCACTTTAGGCTTGTGTTTGCCTTTTGTGCACCTTGTGGGTTCATTGGAATCTATTTCTCGGAGGGATTACACCAGGAACACAAAGGTTTACTATTGGCTGCTGTACCGATCTGGCAGAGTTTGTGTCCTCGATTGGCTGTGGACCCCGTGGCAGACGGCCCATATCTGTGACGCTGTTGCTGGGAGGGAGTCGCAGTGTGCGGCTGCCAGTCTTGTGTCAAGGGGCCAACAGAAAAGAATCATGGAAGCATTTCCCTGTAATTGCATTATTTATCTCATCTCCATTTCTTCCAAAGTATCAGACGAGGCTCGATCCCTTTGTACTTTCATGAAAACAAAGTTTAAGCTGCAGGCAAACATCTTTTCACGGATGCAACAGTCAAACATGTACGGAGAATGTTACCTGAAAGTCATGTAGCACCTTGGAAAAAAACGGAATATGTTTAACATGTTCAGATTTCTCACACATCCTTGTTAACGTCAGATGATGTCATAGTCTGAACTACAGATGAGCAAAAACAGTTAAATGTATGTCCATTTTACCCCAGTGCATTCATGATTAAACAAATTAACGCCATCATTGCTATATTTAAGCTTACTTTGATCAAGCCTAGAGTGAAATGGTAGAGCATCGACTATTACAGATACAACTGCCTTAAAGAAAAGCAAGAAAAGAGTCTAAATGTTCTTAATGGTGTTATTTTTGTAATGGCATAATTTGTCCTGCTTCAAAAGAAGCTGTTTACGAAAAGTCACTTGGACTGACAGTTCATCTAAGGACCTGTACTTAAACTTAATTGTAACAGTGTCACCTAGTGGTTGTAACATTTATTACAGGTTTATGGGAAGCAGAGTGAGAAAGTCAACGATTACTTATGAATAATTGACCGCAGGGAGGAAACAAAATGTGAAAAGAAAGTCTTAAAAAATATATTTGACTTCATTACATTTAGCCACAATCTTTTTCTAAGCTGAAAACCAATAGACAGTGTTGCTTTGATTAATAACTATAAAAACCCGATCACTGCAACAAACAAGACACCAGTTCCACCAGAATTACTTCCGTCTTAAATTCAATAACAAAACTCGTAGGAGTCCTATTGCCTTATAAATATTAGGAGCATAATCATGTCATCTTTAAGGCCTAAAGAGAATAACATCTAATTCATTAACTTATAGGCAAACAATGCAAAATTGTTTATTTTCCAGTAAAGAATTGTAATTGCACATTAAAACAAATGTAGCGATTCATAAGCAAATATAAGAAAAATACCTACTATTTTTTCCACTGTATTTTAAAGTTCTCAGTTTATCACTGAAGTAAAGTTTGTGAATGTAATAAAATTTTACATTAAATATATAGTAAAAGCATGCAACAAAATGTATTTCCTAAAATCATTTTGTTCCTGAAAAATAGTAAATATAGATTTTAAGCAGATGAATTTAAACTCCTGTTGTGTCTTGGTTAACCTGCACAGCTGCTACTGAGCTGCAGACCAATCATCATTTCTTCAGCAGTACTCATCCCACTCAGGGAATTTGATTTTTAATTTATGAAAAAAACAAGTTGTTGTGTTTTATTTCATTAAAGAATAAAAGGAGATAAAGACCTGATGTATTTGATGCACGCGGCTTCGGTTTTATTACAACTTTCACATTTATACAAATCAATGTTGAAACTTTTTAATATATAAATTGGCCACCTTTGGGTGATCTAAATCGCAGTGTGCACATTTTAGGCTACTGCTTGTGCTCCAAGTTTAGATTTGAGCTCCAAATGGCTTGGGCCCAACCTTCCTCTAGCAGATGAGCTTCTACAGCTGCATCTTCATTTCATTCACAGCCACTCACGACCAGCCCAGATCCTGTGTGGAGACACCTGGTGGAAACATCAGTCTAGGAGCACCCTGTGTTCACTGGGCTCTAGTAAATCAATAGGCTCACCCGCTGCAAGTGTTGCACAAAGACTGGGGAGGAGGTCATTTACATGCACACATGGAAATCTGTTTTGAGCTTTTCAGCTGAAAAGAACGGCCAAATTTAAAACACTTGCTCTTCTCCATCAGAGGAGTTGTTGGAAAATTGCATCAATCAAGGAGCAGTTCAGTTCCCGTGATAAACATGTGCTTCAAAGAACCAATCAAAGTCTCTTTGAGATCAAAGATTTTGGATATATATCTTACTGAGGCTTGTCAGAAAGGGTTTCCTTCTTTGTTAAATCCAGTTCCACATGAGTCACACCCCCCAGTTTCTGCGTTGCCATTTTTCTGTATTCAAATTTAAGCAACGGAAACGGTCCCTTTTAATTGAGATGGAATTTGAAATAGTAAAGAAATTCAACATTTAAAAAAGCAAATCCTAACTGAAATTATTAGTCAGCATACAAAAGGAAGGCAGTACATTTCTCGTTTGTCCTTGGAGAAACAGTCGGATGCTGCCAGACTGTTCACAGAACATTTTGAATGCTATCATTTTGCAGCCACTGCACAATTTTCCACTACTTAATGTTTCTCTATCACACAAATTTTAACATGATATACCAAAACGTGAGGTTATGATGGGACAAAATGTTGAAAAAAATCTAACTATGCATAGAAGGATGCTGCTTCTCCATGTATGGTTTTAAATCTAAGGATCCAGAGTAGACTTGAACTAGAAAACCTAAGTGGTGTGGACGGCTGATACAACAGCAACAAAGCTGTAATGTATTTTGGTGCTAAGGTGTAAACTAACAAAAGTATTTTAAAGTCTATTCTCTGAGCTACAGGAAGTCAAGGGAAGGACTTTCAAACCAGGGTGATGTGTTCTATTTTTCGAGTTTTAGTGAGAGAGTAAGCAGCTGCATAAGTGTGACTTTTTTGGCAGACCTGTGACGACGCTGCTGCAAAAATCAATTTGGCTGAAGATAAATGTATGAGTTTCTCAAGATCCTGAAAACATTCTTCAGGTGATGGAAGGTCGAGTTTAATATTGTCTTTGTGTCTCTCTTAAGGTTCAGGTCTGAGTCCATCACTACTACATTTTCTAGCTGTAATAGCTGAAGCTGGGCAGTGACTCTTATGTGCAGATAACTTCAATTTAGTTTCTTTTCAGCTAAAATAAAAGTAATTGCACATCCATGAAAGAAGTTCTGTTCTTTAAGTAAGATCAAGTCAAGTACTGTCCTTAAAAGTGGCTTATTTATCTGTGATTTGTACCCACAACAAGTTTCATATTGTTTTATGTGCATGAGAAGTCAATGGAGAGTTGGAGCCTGGTATGTTAAGCAGGGACCTCCTGCTTGCATCTAAGAAAAAGAACATCAAGTTATTGCTCACACCCTGTTTAGTCTGGTTTATTTGAACACTAGTATGTTTGCCTAAACAGTCTGGTTTGTTTGGGGAGGTGTGAATGTGCAATCAAACTCTGCTGCTGCAGACCAAAAAAGCAGACTCTGGTCCGGCTAAACACCTAAACCTTGTTTCAAATGAAGCGAACTCCGGCATGCTTTGAAGGAATATGTGAATTCCAAGTGGAATGGAGACCAGAAAGTGAAATGCAACCAAAAACAAATGTGCTAATCAAGTGCAAGAGTGAGAGATGGCTCGCGGTCTTTTGCCAAGGACAAAGGAGAAATCCTACAGCTGCTAAAATCTGACACCACTCCATTTTTGTTTACATTTGGTGAAGAAATGAGATATGCTCAGTATGTTCTTCAGAGGTTTTCGTGTAGTTTCCTTCGGTGGTTTTTGGTGGAGTGTCACCACAGGCAAGGGGTGGGAACAGATTTTTCAAACGGTTTGGTTTGTTTGACACAATAGAGTGTGAAAGCGAACTGCACCAGCAGAAAATGTAACGAATACTGCAATTTCCATCCACAATCAAACAGTCTACCAGACTATCGGGTGTGACAACAACCTTAGAGTGAATCACAGATTACCATGACTTTTCTTTTCTTTTCTTTTTTTTTTTAGCTGGAGAAATCCAGTCTTCACAAACAGTTGCGTAGTACAACTTGAGGGCAGCAAAAAAAATAAAAAAAGGGGCTTGCCCAGGATGCTGTTAATGCAAGAACCGCCACTGTGATGCAGCATGAATTAAAACCTATCACAATAAATAACCATATAAGACAGATCCACACATTAAGGTCACAATATATAAGAAAATACAACAAAAATGGCTTTAGAGGTTTCTTGCCCAACTTTTTTTTTTTTTTTTTTCAGAAGGTTTGACGCTAATTCAAATGCGTGCCCAGAATTTAATCGAGCTGAAATGAGTACAGCCAGTCGGCCTACTTTCCCCGGGTTTCTCCACTGACAGGCGGGGAGCAGCAGGAAAACTGAGAGACTAGTCTCTCTCGATGCAGCCCCGCTGCTGTGCCAATGCGCAAACACTCTCCGCCGTTCAGGGATAGGTCTCCCCCCAAAATGAGGCTGCGCTCGAAACGATCATGCGATTGAGTGACGAGCGCGTCATGCTTGTCTTCCTCCTCCTCTGCTCTGTGCGATCAGTGGCTCTGTGTTCCGCAATCCCCCGGGATACTGTACCGCCCTCGATGGCTCTGCTATCGCCGTTCCGTTCGCACTGAATGGCCGGCCGGATCGAGGAAAAACGGGGGGAGAGAGCGCCGCGTCTCCTCCTTTAGACCAACGCTCTGCATCAGCTTCCCAGTGAGGGGGTGAGTGTCTTGCTTTTTTTTTTTTTTTTTTTTTTTTTTTTTCCTGTGGTGGGGGGGGGGTTGA